GTCCTCAGTAGAGCAGTCGGGTCTCAAACTGGCAGGAGCAGGAGAGTCCTCAGGACAGCAGTCCAGACTCAGACACACAGCAGGAAAGTCCTCAGTACAACAGTTGGGACTCAATGCATGAGAGACCTCAGTACTGCTGTCAGGATTCAAACAGGCTGCAGGAGGGTCCTCAGTACTGCTGTCAGGTCTCAAACAGGTAGCAGGAGGGTCCTCAGTACTGCTGTCAGGTCTCAAACAGGTAGCAGGAGGGTCCTCAGTACTGCTGTCAAGACTCAAACAGGCAGCAGGAGGGTCCTCAGTACTGCTGTCAAGACTCAAACAGGCAGCTGTAAGAGACAGGGCAGCTCTGTTGTCAGGAGCCAAACAGGCAGCAGGAGAGACCTCAGCACTGTGGTCAGACGAGGCCTTCTTGTATTTTTTGCCACCTCTTAGATGGGAAATCCACCTCCACATTTTTCTCTTCTTTTTAGAGGAACGCTCCTTTCCTCTTTCTTTTTGACTATCCACATCTCTCTCTGGATGTAAATCGTTTTCCACTTTGTTTGTGGAAGATTGTGGTGGTGTACAATGATGATTATAGTCCACACTGCCACAATCATTTCTTGATGGTTTACAACATGAACTGAGCTGACCCATATTTGAATTGTCAGAGCTACAAAATGAACAAACCAACAAGAGTTGCAGTAACATACAGTATGATGATGTCACATATAGAACTCACAAATAGAAGCCGGCATTCTGTGGCTTGTGGTTTCTATGGTAACCAATTCCATTGCATCCCATTGGCCCATTTCACCATGTTTAAATGTCATTAAATTCTCAGGTACTTTACTTTTGACTTATAAATAATGTAATTTATATTAATAATAATTATTTATATACACACTTATTATTGCTTAGAATATTAGAGGACTGATTAAGGGTTAATATCTTGTTTAAATTTAAACTATGGCTAGTTTACACCAATTTAAGTGCAGTAACAATATTGTTTTGTTTGTTTTATACATTATATTTAATGTATTAGAAAGTGTAATGTGCAATATTTTTGTTTTCTGTAGTAAAAATTATTTTATTTTTTACAATGATTTACCAAAGACACACTAAAATGTCATCAAGTGTAACAACAGTTTGTATTCCAGAAAAATCTTGTCAAGCATATTTAAAAGAACCCTTTGATGATATAATAAATAAATAAATAATATTCTCACGTTGGAGCCCCAGATCAAAATATAGAGCAATGTTGTAATATGTAACCCTGGACCACGAAACCAGTTGCAAGTCAAACGTGTATATTAAAAATAATAGATTTTTATATTATGCCAAAAATCATTATTATGTTAAATAAAGATCATATTGCATAAAGAGATTTTGTTATTTTCCAACTGTAAAATGTCCTGAAACAAGTTTGGTTTCTATGTAAAGTTCAGGATTTCCCCTTTCATAACCATCAATTCTTCTTAATGTCACTACAGCGGTAAGCTGATAGATAGCCTTATATGAATCTGTCTTGCATCATCAAAACTGATTTCCTATTAGTAACGGCCAGTTACATCCCCTCTGACTGGCGATTTGAGAATTCACATGCACAGAACTCTCTGTGGACTCCGAGGTAGTGCATTTGCCGCGATTTAAATTACGATTTGCAATTCAAGTAAAAATGTGTCTAACAAATCATTTGGAAATTATACAAATTCTTTAGAGACCATCTTCGCAAAGGAGGATGTCATGGAAGATGACAAGTTTGATAACAGTTTAGACTGTAACGACTCCAATATAGAAAGTTTCAGTATTGAAAATACAAAGTTTTTCAGGAGTCAGTCACTAAAATCCCTTTAATTCAGTCACTCCAGTGTTAAATGAAACTTGTAAAAGTTTTCAAGTACAAGTAAAGTAGTATGGACTATTCTACTACCTGATTTAGTATAGTGCTAGTAACTAGACCTTACATTATATTGATGCATTTATACAAAACTATTTTTTGCATTAGGCTATATCCATTTCATCCTCTTCAAACAGCAGCTCTCATACACATCCCATTATTTCAGTGTTTGCTTGTTTGTTCAGAGTATTGTGGATATTTTATTCCAGCAATAAACTCGTTAATGCTGTTCATATACTTGTTTTATACAAAAGGCAACATAGGTGCAATTATAACCTCCAACACTTTACATGGTCTTTTTTTCATGTAATTATTAACTGATCATTTGCATTATACATTTATTGATAAATCACCCAGTACAATTACTTTCAATGTTCTAAAGCAGTGGTTCTCAAACTTTTTTCATCAAGTACCACCTCTGAAAAAAAATCTCTCCAAGTGCCACCATAATGCTCAGTATTGAAATACAGTAGCGCAGTAGACCAGTTTAAGCTACAGCTCTGCACACTTCAAAAACCATGGCAGATTACTTACTATTATTAAGAATATGTATTAATGTCAGACACTTTAATTATCATAAATAGTCTGAACGTTAGGACTGTACTGTGCTTATATGTAAACAAACAAGCAAACAAACTAAAAACATGAACATTTTATTTAAAATGTGCTTTTAAAAGTGAAAAATGGTAGGTTACTGTTCTTAAAAAGTAAAAAGAAATTGCTGTACTTAAATGTAATGTATTAACACATAGTATATATATATATATATATATATATATATATATATATATATATATATATATATATATATATATATATATATATATATAAATATACGCTAAATGTCATCATATTCATATAAAAATCATTTTTGATAAATTTTTAAATATATGTAGCATGTACAGTACAATATGACTTATTGGATTCCTCCACGTACTACTAGAAGGAAGCTCGCGTACCACTAGTTGTACACATACCACAGTTTGAGAACCACTGAACTAGACACTCTAAAGAGGCAGTTGTGCATAATACATGTGAGATCAACCAATCGGTAATATACACATTGTATAATATATTGATTAAGTAAAATGAAAATAATACATTTATGGATATTTGCCTATGCAGTTTAAATGTTTACTCTTGATTGTACTCAAAGTAGGTGCATCCTAATTCACAAACTTTATTTTAAAGTATAAAAAGTGTAATTAGTGTGTTCACACTCAAAATTCCAGAAGTTTGTTTGAAATACAAGGCTGTTGCATATTTTTAATTAAAAAAATGGTGGATTGTTAGACCCTTTTCTAATACATTTTTGCTTGTTTGAAACCTTTAAAATGTAAACCTTCATAGCTATTTAAAAGCAATCATTGACAAAAGCTTTAATGAAAACTGTCTAAACACACAAGTGTATTATCTGTGTAGACGCAAGTATGAAGTATGAATTAAACAAAGGTTAGAATCATCAAAGGCTAGCAAGTCTGCTTCAAAACTACTGGCTGATTTTAAGAAAGGAGTATAAACCTCTACTATTGAATGTTCAAAACATGTATGAAACATGCGCATATACATATAAACTTAATGCATGCATATTGCATACATTCACATACACGCGCACATACATAACTCGATCTGTGCATATACTCCCACATTACCACACACATGTACATAACTCGACCCTTGCATAAACACCCAAATTAACATTCACATACACAAACTCGCTGCATGCTGGCATATAGCACTCGCACAAACTTACAAAATAAAATTCAAACATATTTATCAGAAATCTGCTTATTGCAAAAGCTGATGAAATAGAAAGAA